AGAGGGCTCTACTATAGTCGTACTTTCGATTAAACTTGACTTTGAGCTCAGGGCGACGCTTTACGAAGTTTGCAGCCCACCTCTTGCCAACTGGCTTCTGATTGCGGATCTCAAGCAAAGAATTGGCTATCTCTTCAACGTCAGCAAGCCTAGGCGGATATCCTTGCTCTATTAGCTTAAGAACATGCCTAACAATCGCTACCTCTTCAGATCCTCGAAGAGCCATTAATTTAGGCTCACAATCGCGTCAATAGGGCGTTCCAGCGAGTCGTCTTCGTAGTGTGCTTTCAGAGACATTGTAGGTAGCTGCAGCGCGTCGCGGCTTAAATGTCGCGTCTTGTTAGATAGCCTGTAAGGCAAGCTGTATATTTCTTTCGTTTAAGGTCTTTTTAACATTGTTGCGTTGAGACATTACAGGTAGGCTTTAAGTTTAGTTAGGTCTTAGCAAAAAGGTTCCACTCGCTTGAAGGTTCCACTCGCTTGTGACCTACGTTATCTAAGATAATAATACTAGCGCAATTTTTAAATATATATAAGTAAGTTTTGTATAAGTAATACTATTAGGTAATGTCTTGTTCTTAATAAATTAGGCTCTTAAAGATTGCGCGAATTGCTTTCTAGATGTTAGCGCAAAACTCTAACGCTAAGCTAGATTAAGCTAGTTTTGACGCGAAAAGAGCCTCTTTCGCCGCCTTATATTGGTTAGGGTAGGAGTCGCAGTCTGAGTAATGCTGTGTGACTGCCTAGGTGCGAATCTCAGGTATTTCCTCAGCACCACACGCCAGCTGCGCTAGCGCTTTCTGAACCACATCATATTTCAGCTGCACAACAACGGAAGGAGTCCTTTCCTTTGGCTTTGCATGATCACTCGCGCGGTATAATCCATTCGAGAGTATTCAGACAGTCGTCAAGACAAAGTCAAGGTTGTACGAGATACAGCAGTCCCGAGCGACCAGTAAGCTGCTGCCTAACCGAAGAGTTACTACGATGAACACCCTGGAAGATGCTCATACTTGTTCACACTGTCAAGATATAAAGCTTGATGGTACTGGGATCGAGCTGCCTGGGAGAGGCCTGCTCCTTCGACAGTTATTCCAATTCGACTACATTGATGTCAGCGCATTCGCCACAGTTTGCCTACTTTTCTGTTGGTGCCTGCGACTCGCGATACGGGACAGATTGGATCTGAATCCTACTCACAAAGTGTCGTTCTCTGTGAACACGGATTCAGAGGACATTGCACATCTCTACGTTCGCTGGGGGGATGAGTCAGGCCAGGCTTTGGCGACGGGCGACGTCGATAATGATACACCACTGTATGTGTTCCCCAACAAGGGTATGTCTTGCCTGCTCACATTCTTCAAACTTAACTAACGAATACAGATGACCCTTCTGCTACACACATTAGTGCAAGACCTATCAACATGTTCAAAGGGAGGCCAGAGGATCTGCAGCGCTGCCGACTATATCTCAAAGAATGCTTGGGCCATCCAAAGTGTATCAATGCTGCTAACACAGCGAGACATTGTATTGCACCTAAGCGACTCTTGGACGTGCAAGAGTATTCGAACGCGCGATTGCATAGCATTCCACCAGGAGACCACCCTCGATATGTGGCATTGAGCTACTGCTGGAGAAACAAGCAACCAGAGCAAGTCAAGACCAAGAAAGCCAATTTGCAGTCCCGACACGATGTGACCAATCTGTCTGGGTTCCCACAGACGATACAAGATGCTGTCCGAGTATGCTGTTCGCTCGGATTCCATTACATTTGGATCGACGCTCTCTGTATCGTTCAAGACGACGATGAAGAAAAGGCATCAGAGATCGCCAATATGGCAAGCATCTATCGGGGCGCAGCGCTTACAATCGGCGCTGCAAGCGCAGCTAACAGCACGGACGGCTTCCTTCAAGCCCGTACATTCGAACAAGCGTACAGCAAATTGTTTCGCATACCGTACTGTTACAAGCAAGACAATCACATCACACGAGGGTGGGTATTCCTGTCCGAGCTACCAATAAGTGACATATATCAAGAACCCCTCGACGATCGAGGCTGGGCAATGCAGGAAGACATGTTATCTCTCCGCCTACTGAGATTCGGATCAAAGCAAACAACGTGGAGGTGTCCGACCTATCCCGAAAGTCTCAACATATGTGACGGTGGAAGTTGCCCTATCAGGGAAAACGAAGACCCGGACTTTGATGTTCACGATCCGAGTCGGAACGCTGAAGTGCGGTCAAGAATGCTCGAGGACGGTCTTCTGGTATTGTCAAATGTGTACGGAAGCTGGCAGAGAAACATCGAACGATACACCCTTCGAAAACTCTCAGAAGCAAGCGATAGATTGCCGGCTTGTGCAGCTCTGGCTGATAACTGTGGCGAGATAATGGGGTTGCAATCTTCCGATTATCTTGCCGGGTTGTGGAAGCCTGATCTCATGGTGCAGTTGCTGTGGTGTCGGGCCAAGCTACCCGATGTCCCGGTCACAGATTCGCCAACATATTTCGGACCAACTTGGTCATGGGCATCTCTCAATGCGCCAGTTTGGTTCTTCGAGCGTTACCTAACGCTATCTAATCTTACTGTGAAAACAGAAGCCCAATACATCGACAGTCAGATCAAGCACAAGTTCGAGCAATCCCCGTACGCCGAGGTGGAAAGCGGTCGCCTTGTTCTTCAAGGTCGGCTTCGACAAGCGCACTGGCTAGGGTTTGTTCTTGTAGCATCTTCCAGAATACTGCCTGTCGATATAACGTGGGACATCGCTGGTGACGAACATCCGGATAACGTTTGGTGTTTCGAAGTTGTTGGCTCTTTCCTCACTGTGGGTTTGATCCTCGTCAAAAAGGGACACGAGGCTTTCCAGCGTGTTGGCTACTTTGAGTGCAGTGGTGAGAAGGAACATGCATTGATACAAAAGTGGTTCCGCAAGAATGAGCCAAAGATAATTTCAATTGAGTAGCACGTCGGATGGATCCCTAAGGCACACTTAATAGAAGAGCCTTACTTTGCAGTGCTAGCTCAATGCGTCGAAACCTTTCTTCTATGTACTTGCTTGGGTGCGCAAGGCTAACACGGAACAAACCCGGCGTCTCACTATGAAAGTTGCCTCCCCATGCCAAATATACCTTGTGCGTGTACAGCGCTTCTAGTATCCTGTACGCTACACCGCTGTCGTCTATGCCGGTTCGCTTGAGATTGTGATGGCTGCGATATGCGTGGCCAAGGTCCACCCACACGAACAGGCCGGCGTGAGCACTAGTAGTGAAGGGAATGCTGTGCTTCTCCAGATGATCAGTAACAAGCGTGTAGGCAGCGTTTAGCTGATGACGATTCTTGTGCAAGTACTTGATAGTAAAGGCCCAGTCCTTAAGCATCTGCGCGACGATATAGTCCGCGATGAAAGACGGGTAGGAGTAGATAGTAACAGCAGCCACAGCAGCACACAATATAGGGTTGGCAAGAGACACAATACAGTCTAGCTGTTATCTGTTAGCGTAAAACTCCATAGAGATGCTCTGGATAACGTGAACTAGAGTGGGATCTATAACACCTTTAAGCAGCAGCAATAGTACTAAAGTAAAGTAAGGTTCGCGCCAAACTAAGAGTGCGTATATTTCGTTGCTTACTAGATGCAGGCTATGCTTTACACAAAGTGCGACCAGGGCGTATAGCACCTCGCGCGGATAGTAGCGACCTAGTGGATTATAAGGCGAGCACAACAGCAGGCCCCTAACTACAATTCTACGTGCCTAAGCGCGCATTAACGCCTCTTTGTAGCACTTAATTGCTGCTAGGCTAAACAGATCTGTCGTACCAAACGTGACGGCAACAGTTCAAACGTGGGAGCGCAGGCCTAAGGTGGCCTTACTATAGTACAGTCGGCCTACCAAGAAGACATCGCCCTCATCAGCGAGCGCCCAGGCGACATGCTCGAGCGCACTCGAGACTCCATTGGTGACCACAATTTAGTCTGCCTCTAGTGGCTGCGCTGTCTTCAGCTGCGCGCTTAAGAAATGAGCTAAGGCGGTCCGTAGCCGTTGACTTCCCACTGGTCCGTCATCGTATGTCGCGTTGCTGCCAGCGATTTGAACATGTCTTGTCAGGTAAGCCTCTAGTCCCCTACGCATCAGGTAGTTTTTGGCTCCACCTAGGTTCACGAAACCGTCGGGGTTCTCGTGCATGTCCCATTTGTCCCTAATAACCCCCACATCTCGTTGAAAGCCGATCCTGCAACTAAGCTCTAAGCTCTCTCAGACAGCATTGTGTTCGGCGCACTCGATCTTCAACTATCAACACGATTGACTGATTGTTGTCAGAACAGTACCCATGGAGTTCCGCATCGCAGTAAGCAAACGTACCTCCGTTAATCTGATAGTAGTCTCAAGTCTAGGGCACTTGAACACACCAGGCGTGAAAGCATGGCTCAAGTACCCGGACCGAACGCCACCTTTTGCGACATGACCTAACACTATGCAACACTTTCACTTCTTGTCCTCAGATAAACTTTTACCGATCAGCATTGAATGTGAGATGCATAAGCCACATTAGGACGTTGTGAGCATTCGAACGTACTCCGCAAGTAAACTTTGACACTGACATCAGCAGTGCATAAGCTAGTAGTCATATCAGGCGGAAGGCTTGTCTACAGCGAGGAAGGACAGTCTAAGAGGCCTACGTCATCACGAACACCTCGCACTTCTCTTAGATTGACATCTGAATGTATTGTGTATCGAGAATGTAAGTTATAAATACTTAGCTACTACATCACTATGCACCAGAGAGTCTATCCAAAATATTCGGGCGCCAGCAAGTATAAGCGAAGGCTGCGGGGTCTAGGAAGCTGGGCGTTGATCCTACTCCTGTTCTGCATCTTCGACCCGCGCGATCGGGTCACACCATGCGCACATCGCTTAACACACCAACAAGTCCGCAGTACATTATACACGAGTTAAGACGTATCTACCGAACCTCTAGTGATGACGCATGGTATTACACACACACACACACACACACACACGCTTCTTGGTAGCAAAGCGCTCTCATAGTCCGTCGCATTGAACAGCAGGCTCAGAATTATTTCGTTCCTACCATCGCCATGAAGGCATCTCGTGGGAAAGACAAACTTGTGACCTAAGTTATAGCACGTGACACCACTTCTAGTGGCGCATGATGATCATTGATTGTACATGTGACCAGGTGAGAATGTCTTGCTTGCACATCGCCAAAAAGAACTACACCTACGGGATGATCCACAGTTCCAATTCGTGGCTGTTCACTACTATCACCCACAGCATGTCATTCCAAGGTTGTGTCACGTTGATTGTATCCGTGTTGCTAGTAGCTTTTTTAGCACCAGCAAGCAGGAGAGTGAGGATGTCATCCCGTCTATCAGCGACCTCGGTCAGGTATTGTTTACATTATGAAAAGTCACTACTATCAAGCTATAACCTAGCTCCCATGTATCTTATGCCGCCACTCGTCCCATCTCCTTCGTTCTGGTCGTACATATATACTGACACCATGCCCACACTTCCCAGACTCCCTCGGTAGAGCTCGGAAGGCGGGGCTAAGTAGGTCGTGATAGGCGGGGCTAAGCCCAGTTCAATGTCGTCTTTCGCAGATTGTCGATCACTGTAGGTTGAGCCTTGATTGGTGTCTGATGAGAGTCCTCTTATCCCTTCGCATCCGAAGAGCTCTTCATCATTGGACCGCTGTGTCATCCTCGTCGGCTGGGAGAAGTACCCATGTTGTCCATAAGGATTTCTCCACAACTTCTTGGACTTCCTTGACGGACCGCTTTCCGCTTTGCTTCCAGTCTGCGACGATTGTGCATGCGAGGATTTGGCTGGCGAAAACCGTGCCCGAGGTTTCGATGCAACAGACTTGATGGGTTCGAGGTACTTTTTCACGAAGGTCTTGAGCGCTGGTGCATTGGCACAGATGACGCCGATGTGAGCCTCAAGAAGTGTCCAATTCCAGACTTCCCAGAGCTGCCAGGAGACATCGTAGGTCTCATAGAACAGGACCCAGGTTGCGTGCGTTCGTAATGCCCCAAAGGCGGCAGCCCCATAAGCGGTAGCAAATATTGCCATCAGAGCCACTTTTTGGCGAATCGGGATTTGTGCGTTCCAGTATATGAAGTTTGGCAACAGAGCGGTAATCACGTCCTGCACTGTGGAAATCACGCCGGCAGCGACTACGGCAGCGCCCTCGTCGTAGCAATTAAACTTCACACCTTCTGCTATCTTCATGATATCTGACTGCTCCCAATAAGCAGACATAGGGCGACAGACCAAAAAGAAACAGAGGAGGAAAGCGAAAGTGGATGTGATTTGGACCCCAATTGCAGTCCAGGTAACAATCCGAAAGGCTTTCGAGACACCGCGTGAACCCAGACGACGAAAGAAGAGTAGGATAGAGACTTTGACGAGTCCTCCAACGAGGATGACGAGCGTCTCTATCGCTAATATGAGCTTCCTCTGTATTGTGAATAAGGTGAGATCGACATCCCATATGTGTACCCCGCTGTGATACGCGTCTGCCGCTATGAGGAGTTAGCCGTGACTATTGGTTTTCATATCACACAATCTTACTATATGGTACAAGGATGGCTAAGGCAATGATTAATGGCTACTAAAGGTGAGTGCGTGTATATCTTAGTTGTAAGTAGGAAACATACAAGGGCAACTACCATAAGCCAATCATCCCAGCCAGGATTTCGCTGTAGATAGAATCGGACCCAGATTCTTGCGAATATAACGAAAAAGGTAATTGGTGACAGGACACCTGCGATTATGGTCGTCACCCTGCCTCTCCCTTCAGGATTGACATAGTTCGGAGCCGGCCATGAGGCAACGACAGATAGAGGAGGGTGTGGACCGCCGGGCATGTGAGCGTAGATGAAATAGGGAATCGACTCGTTGTTTCGTTGGTATAGCGAACGGGCAGGCCTTGCTTTGGAGCCCTTGATATATATTACGCAGCGCTCCATCTCTCTGCTGCTCATCTTGTCCATTCTAATCCAAGTCTTGTGACAACAGTTGCATCAGGCCGCCACTGGAGCCATGAGTCGAGCCAATAGGTAACGGCATTGCCAGCCTCGGCAAACGACTGATACAGGAATGAGTAGCTGGTAGTGTCCTCGCATGCATACACCCCTTGAACGCCATAATTTAACGGCGTCCCGTAGTCCTCAATTATGATCCCGCCGAGAACCTCGGTAGGCCCCGGCGGGCTTGCGTGCTAGGTGGCTGGCGCACATTCATGCACTGCATTCTTTTCCAGCAAATATAATCCCTTGTGTATTCGAGACAATTACAACACATCGTCCCTTCTGCGAGAGTGGACAGAGACTTCACATCGCGAGGGAGCAGAATGAGATGGCTTCAATCATCGTGAGAATCGATTTTGATCGATGTGAGCATGCATACAAACCCGACATCGGTATAGCATGATCGTCAGTGACGGTACGCTTGTCTCATTTGAATGCAAGTCTGAGCACTTTGTTCCTTTTCAGCGTCTGTTCAAACACCACTAGGTGAAGCTCACAGGATCAGCTGTCACTAATGACATCGGTCTTAGGTCGATGGCGCAAGCAGCTCGTGCAGCTGTCACTTTCAAGATAGGCTTAAGGGGTACCGGGTACCGGGGAGGCCACGCAACGGCGAACAAAGTTTTGGCTCTGGCCAGCGTTCACCCGGTGGCATCATCTTAGCGTCCGTTGCCATGTGCCTTCTGCAGGTCTGTGCAGCCACGCGATCGGCAGTCCTTAGCGAATGCAGCTCCATGCCGACGAGATCACCCTATGTTGATGAGCCATCTGTTGTTACTGCCCATTCCATCACCTGCACAAGTGACTGCGTATGTATTTACTGTGTGCACAGCTTACGCACGATATCGTGTCGTGGAGGAAGGCACTTTTGCCATACTATACATCACGGCTACTGCCGCTGTCACAGCTCCTGCAGTCCAAAGTTTGGGACCGCCGTTTCATTCTGTCACCTGCATGAGCCTAGACGAGATACCTTGCGACAAAGCAGGGCAAATCTACGATGATCCAGGTCAGGAACCTGTTTGCGCGTCAAAAACGGGAAGGGCCGGACGCCTGATCTTTCGAAGGGTCGCACTGACGGAACATGTGGGATTCAGAAGTGGAGATCTCCGACGTGAACATCGGGAGCAAGCAGGCGAAGCACGTCACGCTTGCAAGCGCCATCGAGCGTGCCGAGATAACGGCTATTCACAACTTTGAAAACTGGGTACACGAAGCATGAATGCCGTATGTTCCGCAGCACTTGTGACACGACGGTCTGAAAGGGAGCTGTCATGACAGAAGAGGGAGCCGTCATAACAGAAGATTGTTACTTCAGCATTGAAACATGTTCCGTTATGCTGGGCTCAGTGCGCGAAGCTCGCGAAGGAAATCCTGATCAAGATCATCTCATACGCAGCACTCCTTCCTAGGCTATATGTTAGCAGAAGAAGTGTTGTGCAAACAGTGTTGCGATACATTTTGTGTCTCCAGTTGTGCTTAGTTATGGATGTGATAGGAAATTCGGAGCGATAAATTTGACTATGACTCGCTAGTTTCTCCAAACGTTTCAAGCGGGCCCAAAAGTGGAGGAAAACGCGAGATAGGGCCGATCCATGACTAAATAGAAAGTAGCAATAGGTTGAAGGGTAGAGCGAGAAGGCCTCACCTTTTTATTGTAAAAGTTGAGAGTACTTGATCTGAGTCGAAGCATTCATTGACATCACGAAACGCGACTGATCTCGCGAAAGACTGTGAGCAATTTGTGGGAGCGACATCGTTGAACAAGACGCTAGCCGGTCTACGGGATCGCAGCATGAGCAGCGTGGTATGACGGGCGTTAAGCGTGATCGCTTCAAGCAGCACAAAGCCGCCCCATGCTGCAAGAGACCCATGGACAAAGCAGTATTCTCTCCAAGTCATTGGTCAATGGGCATATTATTGACTCAAGGAGAGGAAGACTTGTTCTGCGGTTCAGAGTTAGACCATGGCTTTTCTCTCCTGCAACACCACGTCACGTGTGCCGCTCTTACCCTTTGACAGACGGTGGCTGCCTCGGCAGCTGGATCATTCGTGGCTGGTCATGACAAATTCCTTTGTGGCCACCCCCTCATGAGTTCGTCGGGCATCGCCGCACCTGCTACTTCTTCATGACTACCCGAGGTGTGTCATTTTCATATCCTGCTAACTACCGCAACGATACTTCCACTTCGAGTTTAGAGTAGTTCCATATGATGTCGTAATCTGACCATTCATCAGGGTCCTAGGTATAAGCGGCGAGCTCTACATCAGCCGTTTGCGAACCATGTAACTATGCTTCAAGCTCCGGATATACTAGTCGCACGGACTTGCGCGATAACGTGACGGGCCGGTAGGCGGATACATCTCGCTCATCACAACTCCACAATAAGATACATTGTTTAAGTCGCTGCTGTAGAACAGCTCGTAGGTGGGTCCAATAGAACCCGGTGTGTATGAACCAAACCCTGCGCTTGAGCAACCAGTAGCTGATATGCAATAGCAATCAAGGTAACGACTGATGCTGTATTGACCGTTGCCTGAAGAGCCTCCCGGTGTGCAAGGTATGCACGCTCGTGACCCCAGCAGGTCTTGTCCGTCAATCACAAGCGTGTCGATGCCGCTGATCATCTTATTGACTGAAACAAAGAGCCTTTCGTTCTCGAGCTGGAGGCACGTCGCAGTCCCGTTGGCGGAGAGATGCGCGTTGTCGAGAGGCAGAAAAGCAAGTGCAACCGATAGAGTGTGGGGTGTTTCGGCTCGCATGTTGCCGGTCAAGCTCGTGGCAGAAGCTTAGCTGAACACAAACATTGAGCCATCGGCGGCCAGGATTATGTACTCGCGCACTTGCTCCATTGTATCTGTGGCGTACCAAGAATTGGTACTCACCTTAGGTGTCTTGGGCAAGATCTGCTGGTTGAAGGAGCAATTCGCATGTTGTTGCGCATACGCTAAGCTCGCATCGCTTAAGATCGCGGAGGTGTTGGCGCTTTTTCGCGGAGAATTGTAAACGGGAATAATGCCAAGTTGAATGATTGCAGAGTCTCGGCATAGTGGACACCGTGTAGAGAAGGAGTGCAAGAGGCAGACAGGCTGTGCTAGGGAGAGTGGAGCTGCAAGATCCCTGATCGGTATTGCGGGAGTGCGATGTCGTCATCGTGCGTGGGCCGAGCACGTCAACTTATATATCAATTCCACATGGGCAGCTTCTTTTCCGTGCGCGAAGAGCATATCATGGCCTGGCAGAGGCAGAATGCGTAGATGCGCACACGATCATGATACTCATACGTTTACGTTGCAATGTTCGTCTTCGAAATGAGAACACGATGGAGGATCCATTTTCACATAGTAATGACGTGCTGGCACGAAACACACGCCTGCCTTAATCTTGGTGATATTAAGACCTGTGGGAAAAAGCTATAGAAGTCTTCTGATTATCGGTATTCGCCGGTGGTAAGAACGTATCTAAGTAAAGAGATCATCGTGAAGGTACAATTGAAGCTAAGAAACGTAGCGCAAAAAAAAAGGCGAAAGGGATCTTAGAGGCTGTCAGCTCCCTGCAAAGCAACCGTGTGCGGTGCAAAGTTTCGAGTAAATGATAAGACGTGAGTTCGGTGGAACGTATTGCAGCATGATCGTAAGTTGCGGATACTATACCGGATGGATGGAGAAACAGAACGTATCTTGCAAGCCACAAGGCTCCATAACAAACGCAAAGTATTGCATGCAGAAGAAGGGGCCATGGCCGTTGCTCGAGCGCTGCGAAGCAAGCCCTTGTTATTACGCCTGATAAGCTCAAAGCATGTGCTATCCGTTGTTGTTCTCTTCCCACTTAGGAGTTCCTGCTGAGAGTCCCAAGTTCAGCCTAGACATCCTACTCAAAGAGCTTAGCTCACCAAAATATACTTTAGAGAGATATATAAATGATCGTAAAGAGACATGAGTTTTAAGAGAGTCTTAAGGCGTGCCTTTCAAAGCACGATCTGAAGTCTGGAAACATACCTATAAAGATCACGAAGATGCTCCCTTGCTTTGTAAGCTATCACATTGAGCTGATCGCATAGTTTGGTCATCTAGTTTTCTTGACTTCTCTCTTCCAACGCTTACGTTCAGACTTGACAAAAGCCTATCCGCATCCCCAAGACTAGCTAGCAATGCCGACAGCAAGCTATAAGCATAGCTCAACAGTGAAAAAGGGAATCAACAGAGAATGCGATCAAGTCGGCCATTGAGGTAATTCATTGAACATCTACTTCAGCATCCGCTGGCTGTATTCGTTCTTCCATCCATTATCCAAACCATCCTAATTACAAGTCGTGCAACGCTGACTGTCGTATCCGCCAAGCTAGTTCTACGGACACCAACCGTCGTTAGGGTCAGCCCTACAGTCAAACGCTGTTAGCTATCGTCGTCGTTACACAGTGAGGATTAGGATTATACACTTACTTGACATACCAGTCGTACTTGGTGGACTCGCCCCCTTGCCAGCCGCCATTTATCTTATCTTCCGGTCTTGATATGCAGTCTTTGGCGGCCAAGGTATATCCTCCGTTTCCCCTCCAGCCCACTGCGAGATCCACCCTGATACCGTTGCAACGGCTGTTGGCACACCAGGTTTTGGTAGTGCCAGTATTTTAGAATCAGCCTGCAAGCTGGCTGTTATTGCACAGGTCTTTGATAGCACCCTTGAACGAATTCTTGTTGCAGTCGTCAATCCAGCTCTGACCGCCGGAGTAGCAGCCGGCCATAGTGCCGGTGACCGAGGCCAGAAGAACGAGAGGGGTAAAGAGCTTCATCGTTAAGCTTTTGGTTCAAGAAGAGCTGAGATTGAATGTCTTGGTGCTGTTGACCTGAAATCTGATGATGGAGAGGATAACAAAAGAGAGGCGAGCGACTGTTCTTATACTCGACATAGTTCACTACTAGTGGACCGGGCTATATCTTCCAATCTCCACTTCAGGCTGGGCGCATGTCGACTATGCAATCAAAGAGACTGGAATCCTGCTCAGTGATGTTTCTTCGAGGGATATTGGGGATTACAGGCACTGTCGGCCAACCCGCGTGCGAGCAACTTTGGTGAAAGAATGCGCTACTAACTGGGAGTGAATGGTAGAATTGGATGCCTTGAAAACTCATGCAATGCCACCCGTGCATTGTTATAACAAGATTTATCCACAGAACGAACTCGAAGGGCATTTTCACATGGCCAGTGCAAATAATAACTCGAACGAACAACCCGTCTTGCGAAGTTACAGATCTATAATAAGGCAAGACACCAGAAGGCGATGAGTCGTTACTGTACCTAACTGATAGCGCCCGTCCAAACACTCTACGGGAACCGTTAGATAGTGCCTTAGACCATGATGAATCTATGAACTCCAATGTGATATTAAAATCAGAACGACATTCACTCTCCGAAAGTTATCACTAAGCGAGCTGTTGGGCGTAAGATACTTAATTACGCCTTGGTGGAGTATTTTGCGCATTCGACGTCTGCAAATATTAGAGACCTGCCTGATTGGGGAAGAATGGACGCTACATGAAGGTGAAGAGTAAGGGTGTCTGCAACTGAGCGGAGTCTTACCACTATAGGATGTATCTCCACGCAACGGACCTGCGGATCATACAACAGTCGGGTAATGTTCTCACCAACGTCCCGCGTCAAATTTCATTCCTCAAGGCGTAACCGCAATCATCAGCTTCATCAATCTGGAAGCATACAGGGACATAGATAGCGGGTACTCCTTTCCAGATCCTATGTTCTCTTAACGAGCTAGAAGCTGGAAACCTCGTTGGTGCACTGCGAATCTTGCCACACTGCTAGATTATGACTTCATTCACGCGCAATCCACGTCTTCATAGCCCCTGTACCGCGTATCCACCATTCTGGAGTCTAGATCCGTGGCAATTTGCCTAAACAACGCGTCAAAAACAGTCAATGCATGCCATGGCTTCACGCGAACCATAGACCAATCGAAGATAGATAAAGAAGCGGCGTGAAGCCAATCACGCCCTCCCTCACAATGTTTATTGGTGGCCGCTCCACAGCGTGCACAAGAGCTTGCATCGCATTGGGGTACGTCTATATATAGGAACTCAAATCCAGTCTAGAACCATGACTTCGGCGGCTCTGTGCCCTTCAACTTTCGGTACAAGAAATCCCTGGTCCTTCGCAACGCATATGAATTCGTGGTTGCGACTCCATGCTCGCCTCCCGGGATAACCACCAAGTCAAAGTCTTTGTCTGCTTGAGTGAGCGCGTTGACAACCTGCATCGTGCTTGCCGGATCGACATTCGTGTCAAGCTCGCCAACAGTAAGTAGCAGGCTACCTTCTAGCTTTCCTGCATTCACAACATTGGAGCTATCTTCGTAGCTCTGGTCGACGGGGTACCCCATCCATGCCTCGTTCCACCACAACTTGTCCATGCGGTTGTCATGACATCCACAATCTGCTGCAGCGACGCTATAAAAATCGTTATGAAAGAGAAGAGCACTCATGGCATTCTGACCGCCAGCGGAACCTCCGTATACTCCAACGCGGCTGGTATCCATCCAAGGGCGGGTTGAAGCGGCCGCCTTCATCCATGCAATACGATCGGGGAATCCTGCGTCTTTGAGATTCTTGTGGCATACGTCATGGAAAGCCTTGGAGCGCCAGTTGGTGCCCATGCCGTCGATGAGGACGACAACAAAACCCTGGTTTGCAATCCGATGGGCCTCGTCGTGACTCATGTACGCTTTTGGTACAAAGAAGTCATGTGGTCCAGCGTAGATCTTCTCGATAACGGGGTACTTTGTGCTGTTGTCCATCTGGTAAGGGCGGAAAACAAGGCCGTAGATCAGGGTAGAGTTGTCTCTGCCCGGGGCTGCGAAGCGCTCGGGTATGGGCCAGAGAAGGGAGTCAAGATTCCCTTCGTAAACATCAGCGGTCTTGTTTCCAGTCTCGGCGTCACGCGTAACGGTCTTCTCGGCCATATCCATACGAGACCATGTATCTGTAAACGTCGATCTGTCATCGTTGAAATACCAGGAATGGTCGCCATCACCTTCGGTCAAGATCTTGAAATCTGAACCATCGAAATTAACTCGCGCTAGGTGGGCGTAGTAGGGATCCTGGCCGGACACAGCACCAAGAACCTTGATCCAGATTTGTCGTTTCAACTCGTCGACGTAGTCCACGGAACGCACAACCCATTCTCCTTTCGTGATCTGGTTTTTCACTTTCCCGCTTTCCATGTCGTACAGATAGAGATGATTCCAACCGTCGCGCTCACTGGCCCAGATCAACTCGCTTGAATTCGAACTCTTGAGCTCCTTGTAGTAGAGCTTTTGTGAGTAATCAACAAAGGTATCGCTTTTGTCCTCGACCAATGCGCGCACATGTCCGTTGGTATTCATGCCAACTATACGCACAACCTGATGTCCACGTTGGTTGTAAATGAAGCGAAATTCGGTGCCCTCTGCGTTCCATCCACCATCCAGTGAGTAAAGCTGGTATGGATTCTCGAATAACGTGTTATCCGTGGCAACCTCGCGTTTGTCCGTCAAATCGAACATTCGAGGCCGATCAATGGTTACATTGTCACCAGGCTTAAGGTACTGGAATTGATGCAAGCGGGGTTGCAGCTGGTCGTAAGGGCTCGACTCGACTTCGTACACAATGTGGTCCTGGGCGGGCGTAGATTGGAATACGACGACGAATTCGTTGTTTGGTGAAGGGTACGTTATGTTGTTGAAGGGACTATCTTCCGTTCCTGTTGTCGACATTTGCACCTCCCGCCCATCCGAATCCCGGTACCAGACATTGTTGTCTCTGAAGAAGACAGGCGAATTCTCGGTCCCGTTATTCTGGCGTTTGATAAGGCTTCCTAAATCCTCGGCATGTATAGTTTTGAGTTGTGGCGAGGCCGCGCGCGCGGGACGAAGGTCATCTTGCGCGGCAGAGGTCTGAGGTACAGATGCTAATAACAAAGAAAATGCAATATGCATGTAACGAATGTAGGTGTGCATGACTGAATACAGACTAAAGAATGTGGTTGAGTGAAACGACTGTGTGGCCAACGACTATCTTGTGGCCTTACCCGATAAAGGAAAGACGAGTAACGTTGAAGCAACAGCGATTATTTGCATACTTATAACAGGTGCGCAACGCATGACGGTCCTCTCCCAATTTGTGATTACGAGGTAGCTCGTGTACTTGGTCCGTGGCTGGCGAAGACTCCTGAATTTCGATCGTGCCCCGCTTTAGCAAGCTAAAATTGTCGTTCGGCGCTGTGTACTCGGCCGTTTTGGTTTCGCACGCAGTTGCATACCGGCACGGCTCGCATCGCTCCATGAGCGCCGTACCTGTACCGAGGCATTGGGTCCTAGACCGTGTCATTCTCGTATTCTCGTGACGGGAAGGCGAGGCACAATCCTGGTTGCAACTCGCGCGGCCACGTGACGAGCGCCTGGACCGCGTGTAGACACGTATCGAGTAGGTTGCTGACGATCTCAGGCTGTTGTTAGTCTTGGTGATAAACCTGCAGTACTTTTCTGCTACGATAGCCTCAATTTTCTTCTAGCACTTCTCACAGCTCAATGTCACGGATTAGAACGTCAACTTATTTTAGATCATTAGACGTACTAACCAAGCGAGATGATCCGTGCGGGAACATCAAAGTCGAACAATGGCTCTCTCTTCTTCACAACCTAGTATTTCACAGATTATATGGTTTTAATTCATACTGCTACCCGTTGCGTGACCTTGGGTGCCTAGAATCCCGCTCTGGACTTGTATCCTTCTATATCATATCAGCGCTCATCAGCCGCACTTAAACTGACAAGAGTCACAATAAGACTCCGCCTATCCTCCGAGGCAGGAACCATCTTTGTCGAAAGTTTCCATCGTCCATGTCAGACACCTACGTACCGGATGTTCGGCTGCGGTGGTGTCTTCATACCATTTCCAATGAAGTAATCTACATGGGCATTCTGCAGATAACCCTTCAGCGTCATTCCGTTCCGGTAGTTTGGATTGTGCGCCAGCGTGTACAGTCTCCGTTTCGTCGGCTGGTCAGTAGTAAAGATAATCAGCTCACTCATATCCTCATTCGTTGTAATGACCTCTTCCCTCCAATCACCGAATATGTCGCCTAGAAAAGCTGGATTGGGATCACCAGGGTTCACTGCACCGTAATCGCTGATGCGGAACAAGCGGGGTAGCGAGGAAGATGTAGTAGGAGTCTCTGGGTTCCATTTTTCCACTTTGCCGTCGTTGTACAGTTCCATTGTGTCGTCACCGTCCCACCAGAGACCCAGATGTGCCCAGGGAGCGAGTTCGCTACTATTGGTGATGGTGGAGTTGCTGGGCGCGTTGTACAGTCCGTTTCCGCCTGCACTCCAGGACTCCATGCCGGGATGGTTGGGATCGATATCACCAATCATGCCTCGACCAATATCTCCGACGGCGTCACCGTAGTGCTTCCATAGTACCTCGCCTGTGCGTGCGTCGTAGTAGTACTCCCACAGTTTGGATGGGTTATCTTGCTGGACGCCATAACCCTGTAGACCCGGTCTTTCCGGATCGATCTTGGCGACTTGCCAGCGGTCGCCGTGCCCGATACCTGAGTCTGTGAGCGAGTAGCGCATGGTTCCGTTTCCTTCAAGCAGGAACATAATTTCGCCAACCTCATCGACGCCGTCGCCGTCGACATCAAGAATGCGAGTGTTGTGTCCGTCAGATCCTGCTCCAGCGTTCTGGTCGTCCCAAATCCATTTTTGGTCTAGTCTAGTGCCATCAAAGGTCCATGCGGCCATGATACGGTTGAAGACTTTGTCGTCACGGCGGTTCTTCATGAAGCCTACGATGTGCGGTGTGGTGCCGTCGAGGTAGCCGATGCCCAAACGTGCGGCGAAAGGCCCGTGCTCTATATAGTCGTTTGGAATAGAGATTGATGCGCGAAGAGCACCTGTTTGGCCGTCTAGGACAGCGATGAATTGCTCGTCGTCGTTACTTCCTTCGTCGAATATGGCTCCGTCGCCAAATATAACACCATTGGCTATGCGTACGATGACTTCGGCAAATCCATCGCTGTCGAGATCGTACACGGTCAAGCCATCCCAATGACCGACGTCAAGGGCTGCTGATCCCGGTTCGATATTGTTCTGATTCTCGCTATTAGGTCCCATGCCCGCTTCCCACAGAAATTCACCGTTGCTGCGGTAGGCTTCAAAGCTTTGCTGAACGCCATGTCTGTCGACGACGTAGCCGTACTCGCCGCTTCCATCAAGATCACCAACCCACACGTACTTGATCTGATCACCTGATCTGATAGGAACACGTATAAGCGGCTCTTGCCTCGTATCAGCCTGAAGTGTGTAGCTCGAATTGACAGCCGATCGCTCATTCCCACCGATAACTGACCGTACCCAGTATTCGTTAGATCGGCTGAGATCAGGTCCGGAGTCCAGATAGTTCGTGCCGCCAGTAAGAGGCTCTGGATTGAGTCTCGTCGCGTTGGCGCCATCCGTTGAGCGATAGATATTGAAAGCGATGTCTTCTGGATCAAGACCAAGTAGTCGCCAGCTGATGAAAGCGCTGTCGTTCTGGGCACGAACAGCGACAATACCTCGCCCAAGGTTTTCCATCGGTCGAGGTGAGGATTGCCGCTTTGTTGTTCGTGATGCTACTGCGCACGCCGCAGCAAAGATGAGAACATGGAAGAATCCCTTCATTGTCTCGGGTTACTTTTGTGTATGATCAAAGAGCTCATGGATATCCGAGATTGTGCACTCGTTGTTACAACTATGCTCTGCGACCAGACGACCTTTATACCTCTATCAATTTTGCTCGGACTGGACCAAGCACACCCATACGCCAGTCATGGCGAAACTTCGTGCTGATGCGCAACCAAGCCGGGGTATCTTCACCGGGGTGAACCGACTGTATACCATGCGGACAAACCTCTGTGCTAACTTGTAACGATCAGCATTTGAGCATCACAATGGATGTGTTTTCTTTAAGTTGTTCATCTAATTAAAAGTTGCGCGCAGATCCCGCCTAACCCAGCGGGTGATGTTTCAGCCAAGACAGCTAAGGATAGCCCTGCGCTTTTCCACCAGTAGCGATGCTGTGAACTTCCAAAATCTCCGCGAGTTCAGCATGAGGCTGTGTCGTTCATCTGATATCAATGAACCGATACCGAAGTCATTGCTCCGAAGGCCGAAAGCCTTGCGATGACGACTTTGTGTCGCTGAAAAACACACCTGGCTTGTTTCTCGTATCTTTCTTACTCTGAAGACGACTTCCTCCAATCCATAGTTCGGGTCTTTACCCCGCACCTAGCTATCACTCTAACGAGCAACGAAGTGTATCTGTCCAATCATCATCACTGAGATGTGTCAGCTCCCAAAGTACCTCAGGCCTAACACATGGGAATACATCTTGGGCATGGGATGAGGTCCGTTCCAATCAGGGAGCTTAGCGCTGACTCCATCACCGGAAATGTAGCACCAGCATCAGCCTTATCCGCTATCGCTGCATCGATCATGTAGACACGGCACAAGGTGTCACTCAACCCCTTGACATGCGCGGCTTGACAGGACATAGAGTGGTAATTCTGAGAAAGTAGGCCCTACAACCGTTGATGGTGCTTACGGGGCGTAAATTTCAGACGGCTTGATGCAATAGGATGCCTTACGCTGAGCGACTTGATACTAGTACATCGGAAGTTCTGGTAATAGCCTCGGCAATTTGTATTGACATGGTTGCCTGGGTATCGAGGGGGCCGTGGGGCGACGGGGCGTATAGGTCATCGCCACACTTGCTTGTAGCATATATTGCAGGTTGGTGCACCACCAATTCCTGTCAAGATCCAATCTTTCAGTGCACAAGGTACCATGACGACCAGCAAAACGATTGATACTGACATCCTCATTGTAGGCGGAGGATTCGGTGGTGTGTACGCAGTATGGCGATTACGGGCTGAAGGTTTCAAAATCCATCTGTTCGAAGGCACTCAACGGCTAGGCGGTGTATGGAGTAACAACACCTATCCCGGAGCTCGAGTCGACTCGGAGTTTCCCTTTTATCAGCTTTCGATCCCGGACGTATACAAAACATGGACCTGGTCCGAACGATTCCCGGGGTGGCAGGAATTGCAAAGATACTTCGACCATGTTGACAAAGTTCTAAACATTGGCAAGGATTCCACGTTCAATGCACTGGTAAACAAGGCCACCTTCGATACCGAGCTCGGTCGCTGGACAGTGCAGACTGAACAAGGCCACGTGGCTACCTGCAAGCACCTCCTGCTGTGTACGGGCTCGACTTACAAGCAACATATGCCAACATGGGAGGGCCTCGAACAATATACTGGAATGTTATTACACTCCAGCAAGTGGCCGAAGGAAGGCGTGAACGCACATGGCAAACGAGTTGCAGTTGTTGGAAGTGGCTCGACAGCTCTGCAGATCGTGCCAGAGATGGCAAGGAAAGCTAAACAGCTCGTGGCATTAATCCGTACGCCAAACATGGCACTTCCTATGAGACAGCGGAAACTCTCTTTGGAGGAGCAGGATTCGCTGAAGGGTTATTTGAACAGCGTGCTGAGGACCGCTGCTCGGAATTCATTTAGCGGATTCCCATACAACCCACCACCTGCTCCATCCCCGCAGATGCTATCGGAAGAGGAAAGAGAGAAGTTTCTTGAAGAGCTGTATCAACGCGGCGGCTTCAACTTTGCAGGTGGAAACTTTTCCTCTGCTTTGGTCGATCGCAAAGACAACCGCATGGTATACGACTATTGGGCCCGGAAAACGCGTGCCCGTATTCAGGACCCAAAGAAGCGAGATATTCTCGCGCCTCTCGAGCCACCACATCCCATCATAGCGAAACGGAATGGTCTTGAGCAGGATTACTACGAGGTATGCGATCAGGATCATGTCAGAATTGTGGATCTGAAAGCGACGCCTATTGAGACCTTTACAAAGGCAGGCCTGCAAGTTGGAGGGGAAGAGATACCACTTGATATCATCGTTCTGGCGACAGGCTTCGACAACTACACAGGCGCATTCTCTACGATGGGCATCGAAGGAACTGATGGAAAGACATTGATGGATCGGTGGAAGGATGGTGTTCGAACGCATCTGGGTTTGATGGCTCCTCGTCATCCTAATATGTGGATGATATACGGGCCTCAAGGTAAGCTGCATCGCACAAATAGCGAGATGATACAGCTGACAGCGATGAAGCGCCCACTGCATTAGGTAACGGACCAACGATACTTGAGGTTCAGGTTGACATTGTTGTGGACATGATTAAAAAGGTGCGGGATGAAAAGATCAGGTATCTCGATGCCACCCTTGAAGCGGCACAAGCGTGGGCAGATGATATCGCAGCAACGAGCAAGTTCTTGGTGTTAGAGGATGCGGACAGCTGGTATATGGGCGCAAACATTCCTGGGAAGAAGAGAGAGATGTTGAACTATCTGAAAGGCTTGGTCGAGTATGACAGGTCGTGCAGGGCCGCAATGCCGGACTGGGAAGGGTTTGTTGTTGAGAAATAAAAGTGCAACACATGAGGGTCCAGGTCAATTGGATGCGGCCCGTATCGCGTCGGAGCGACTTACTCCAACACGACCTAAAATCTCCAGCCTGCCGATATCAGCCCGTAAAGAGTATAAGTTAGAACATGCGCTAATGCTCGAGACGGAGTGTAAAGTCTAGTTAGTTGCCCACAGATATTAAACGCTTTATCTATCATAACGTACAAAAGTTGATCTTATACTTTTCTATAACAAAGTACAATCCATAAGGACCAAAAGCCCTCGGATCCGGATCGTCCCACATCAACTTTAGCAAGTTCGACACTGTCTTCACATGGCCCATGTGGTATCGAGAGAAGTCGAGAGCCGCGAGCAGAAAATCCTGGTGTGACTTGGATGTCAAGCACGAGCCACAGATGATGAAAGGCCAGAGCATGGTGTAATCAAATGATAGCTCTGCGAGGTTTGTGGCAAGATCCAGGATGGTGCATGCGTGCGTGTGGAGTGAGACACGAACCTTTTGATCTGTACATATCTGGCCAGCCATCGAAGAAGATAGGTAAATGTAAAGGACGTGGCGATAGACTTCTCCAGCGATGCGGCGATCTTTGTACCGACTTCTGATAGCTGCTGCGCAATTCGTGGGTGTGATGAGGCTTAAATCGCTTGCTTGTTCTGATAAGGGGGGCAGTGACCAACCATCTATCCGAGCTTTAAGTATCCTGTATGTGTCCAACAAGACAGATCGAGACTTTGCCGCACCATCTCTATCTTGTGCGACGCTATCGCTTTCCACGGCATCTTCTCTCAACCGACTGGCAGCAAGTACTGAGATCAAAGGTATGAGTTCCAACAGGCCATGTAAGCCTCCAAGCATAATGCCGCGATAGGCAGATTCGTCAATCTCATCGAAGTGGATGATGAATGAATCAAAGATTATCGTGCGTTCTTGAATAGCAGCATGCGGGGTCAAGGTATTGGTAAGGACGATACATGCGTATAGCTCACACATGAGGCCAAACAGTTGATGGCAAGAGTCAGTGGGTAGACTCCGTGAGTGAATGCGTAATGACAGGATGAGTTGTCTGCTTGCACGAAGATGCTGAGATACCTTTCCTTGGGTATCGCCAGATATCACCTTCAGAGGCAAAGCGAGCCTGGTGTTAGCAGGTTTACAGCAGGATGGGAAGCGTGCATGGAAGCATCTGTGCACATACCTCGTAGTGACATAGTATAATGAGAACAACAAGAAGGCGTAAAGTCTTGATAGGATCTTCAGGGCTGTTTCAGAAAGACGCGAGCTCAGTCCGCAGGCTGCGAATGACGGCAGCATAGTGACTCCATGTTGCACGCGACACAAGTCGTTCTTCGATGTTGTCGTACCCTGAATAATGAATCCCACTGAGAGCGAGGAGGCCATGCATGATCAGATCGTCGGAAATCGCCGTGTGCAAGAGCAATCGCACAAAAGGATTGCACGAGGGTGGGAAAGGTACGAGCTGAGAACCCGTCCGGGCGACGTAGTGCTCAAGCAAGTTCCAGATCTATTGGTCAGAAAACATGGAGGCTCTGGGCTCAGGACAGTGAGATGTGACAAGTTCCGGATATCGACAGCTTCTGTATTGATGTAGCTTTGGCGGAGTTCTTGTTGTTGGAGGCGCATCCCTGCAGCCAATGATGTAGGCGATCGCGTGGACGCAGAGGGAGCAGGCCAACGACACACCACATGGCTACACAAACAGCCAGAACAAGTTGGTCGTTGTTCGTCACATCTCTTTCTACGTTGTCTACACGTAAGACACCCAGAAATGGACCTTGGAAAGTTGCGGCTAGGTCTGCGTAATGCTTCCGTGAACGAATTGATCGTAGGGCCGGTGTTGCACGTCGCCATCTAGCACTGACATATGATATCAGGGCGCGATTCCTCAATAGGTTGGTTCTACGTGTGGTGTCCAAGCAAGTACAAACATTTGGATGGAACTGCAGGTGGATACTTAGCGGCTAGATTGATGGAGTCTGGCTGCTGCTAGATGCTTATCGATACGGCGGCTACAATGCCCGTGCGTTCGATGAACATCATCATTCGATGAACACCCCCACTTCAACAACAACACAACTTCAACGCGTCATAGCTCAACCACCATGGATCCGATTCAAGAAGCGATTGCAGAAATCGAATCGCGCGAACCAGGAGATAAATTCTCGTACCAACAAATCGCGAAAAAGTATGGTGTCAACCGCGTTACGCTCGCTCGAAGGCACAAGG